TTGCTGGGATGGGGGGGGGACGGCAGTCGAGACAGGTGATGAGATGTGCGCGGTCGGATTAATGACTTGTCAACATCTGAGGTGATTGGCAGCCAAGGCAGGTGATGAGCGACGGGCCGTTGGATTAGCGACTTTTGATCATGGTATCTGCGGGACCGTTACAAAGTTGTTTTGACCGCTTTGCGTGGCCTGATGACAGCCGCCAAGATGAATACAGATGCTAAATATCTCACATGACCGAAGTAACTGATTCAAGCCGTTTTCGATGGCCTTTCAAAATTGTGCTAAAAGATAAAACATTTTTTCTTGAACCTAAGTACAACCTATGTAATTTATAATTAAAGGGTATTTCCGGGGGCTGTTTTCGGAGAGTTTTCCAATGGTGGTCATATTCTTCCACAATTTAATCGAAACTTGCGAACAGCCAGTAACGTAAGGCCAAAAATCCAGGTTGTTATACGAATGGATCTAAAATACTAGACGATTACATAATGAGCTCTCTATATCCAATTCGCAACATTGTTAATCAAACTACTGCTTTTTGGAAATATCAAAAGGAAAAATTAAACTTTTTTTAAAAGTGCTCAATACTAACAGCAATTTGTAAAACCGAATAGTCGGTAATACATTAACAGTAATGCATCATCGGGTCAAAAAAATTTCAATGATAATGAAGGCATGAGCCTTGAGCAGGAAAAATCTAGTGACGCGGGATGTGATTCGTACTCCCCGTTCTACCGCCACTCACTGATAGGGGTAGCTGTGTTGGATTCACTGGATCTGGCGGGGCGGAGGTAGGATGAAAGCAAGACATTTATTTTAAGAAGAAGCATTTGCAATTGCTAGGACAGGAACTATATAAGCCTGACGTTGAAGATTCCGTGGCGGGTTCAAAAGCAGAGACAATGGCAGACACATACAGGGCGAGTTACAGTATTTACAAGATACAGTCGCTATATTAGTGCATAGTTTGGACAATTGACGGCTCCATCCGATCGAGGACAGTCGCCCAGTTGTGCACTAGCCGCTTGATGACCGACGCGCGGGTCGTTTCGTCATGCCTGCTGGACTTGAGTATGATCATAACACAGCCATCTGGCTTACTGGCGCAGGAAAAAGATAACGAGTTTGCCTCTGCGCTCCCCGAGTGGCAGATTGCTTCTGGCAATTTTGGGCTTCAACACTGACTATGATTGGAACAGGTCATCGCTCTAGACTGGAGGCCAGTAAACCATGACTCGAACCAAGACTCTCGGCTCCCATTATTGTCACCTCTAGCCCCGCCGGGTCTTGTCGAGTGAGCAGCGACCTGAGAATTAGCGTCATTTCGCCGCACTGTTGCCACGTGTTCGGCAATTTGTGGCAATTGCGGAGACTTCCTGTTCCTCCCGACGTAAGGGTTTTGTCTGCAACTGCGAAAAACCAGATAGATGACTGAATACTTTGCCAATG